TCATTAAACTCCATACACCTTCACGAGAATAATTTGGATCATTTCAGTTTTGGAAATGCCCATCTCTACTGAACTAAAGGTAGAAGGTAATTGTTAACTTCAAAACTACCATTAAATTACATCACCTTGACCTTTAAATAGAATAGAGCCGATTAAACATTATCTATACTGCAAAACACTATTTTCCCAACTATGTCACAACCTGTTACACTTTGATCGATCCTAGATTTAATCCCTGTTGAAATACATGTTTATACTTTAATCTGTTGCTATGACGCTGTTTATTAGTATTTTTAAAGGGAAGGAATCATGTCTTTGTACAATGACCTTTGTGCCTTGTTCGAAAAGGACCTATTAGAATTTATTCGGCATCTAACCAACAACAGTTTTGGCTCCGTTCCCAGCAAGATGAATCATTTCTGCTCGTTCAGCAAAAGAGAGAAAAAAAAGGGTTGTTTTCTTTACACAGTTGACATTGCGCATATAGTCTGTTAGCTTTTTAACATGGTTTAAGATAACACCACTAACATGAGGTAAATTACATTAGCCTTTAGTCGTTTTAACTTTTGTTATTTTTGTGGTTATAAAAAGCAGGATAGACATCTGGGACTTGTTGTTGGAGGAATAGAAAGTGTATAATAGGGTAAAGGATAGGCTGAAAGTGCTTCATTGATTTGAAGTGACTGTGTGTGTGTGTCATATTGGCTAAAGATAGCACAGGGGAGTTTGGTATTTTGTGTTTTTCTATGGGATCTTTTCACTTGCAGCTTGTTGTATTGTGACAGCTGCCCTTTTCTCAGTTACAATAACATCCCAGAGAACTTGCTCTTCCTCACGTGCACACCAGGGGCTCAAACCGGCCACTTTTCATATGTATTCTATATGCACAATATGATGCAAATTTTACCGTCAAGTCCGCAGATTGAATTGTGTTGTCTAAGCTTGCAGTGGTTTACATATAGGTGTATCTATGAGTTTGGGAGTGACAAATTCAAATAGATGTATTGTATCTTGAGAAAAAGTAAGTTATGAATTGGTACTACATGCCCTTGTCAAAAAAATGTTTACTTGTTTTTTTAAGTGGAACATTGTAGAGGGAGACTTTTTTTTTCCACTTTTTCCATGTATTTCCAAGTGTTCTCTTCAGTTTCACAGAATTTGAAAGGAAAGCTGCCTCCTCTTATTGTTGGTGCAGGATGAGACAGGCTGGTCTGGGGGACAAGGGGAGGGGTACACAGCAAGCAAACCATGTGATAGGCTGCAGCTCCAACATACATCAGACAAGACCCCAGACAGTTCCAGTCCTGTTTGGATACCTTTTCAATTCTTCATTTTAGTTTAATCACAGGAAATATTAGAAAATTGGTTTTCCTACAGCAAACTAATACGTGCATAAAAGCCCAATTCTCCAGCTTAGTTCTCCTGACCATTATCCTGGATCAGATCTGGAGAGATTTCCCAGGATGCTACTGTTCCTGACATTGAATGACGGGTCCTAAAAAGATAATGTTTGACCATATGTCTCTACTTAATGTCTCAGCTTCTCAAAATCTGTAAACCGCTTCCGTAAACTGTCCTAATTTTAGTACCTTCTCATTTTAAACAATACTAAATCACAGGCTACAGGGTGTTTTTGTAATATTGTTTTGGAACGTCCTAGAGTTACTTTTATATCTGGTACATTACATAAAAGTCAGTTTATAGCCCTAGAAACTGCGCGCAGAAGGCTTTGGCAGCTGGGCAGGAAAGGGTTAAGGCTGCAGCGTCTTAACATACATGCAGTGATAGATGAAAACACTCAAAACTCCAGTCGTGTTTGAAGAGTGAGGAGGGGGGGACACACAAACCATCGAAGAAAGTTAGCACATTTTACCAAGTTATACCATCTGTTAAAAGTGATCAAATCTGTGTTCCTTAAGTAGAGCTCGCAGTTCTTATATGTTTAACTAAATCAGTATGTGTTTTTCTGACTGTTTTAGGGTGCTGGCATGAGTCCAGTCTTGTGGTTTTTCGTGGGTTGTAAAGTAGGGGAGAGTTGTTTTCCTGAGAGAAAGTCTAGTCACTACTTAGAACTTACAATTATCAAAACAAGTTCTTTTGGTGAAACTCTGCAACTTTTATATAACTGCAGTTAAACTTTGAGTAAACTTCGATGCCTCTGCAAAACTTTTTTTCTCTGTTTTTCCTTTCTTTTTTTCAGAACAGCTGTGATTGGTCGATGAAAGTGTTGTTCTAGTCTCTGACTGGCTGCAGCCTGTTGCTAGGCTTGTGTCGGGGCAGGAGCGTTTCTGCTTCCTCCGGTCTGTGCTCTGATTGGTCACCTCTGAACCGGTCTGGTAGACTTCTGCCACTTGTTGAACATCCACTCAGTTTTTGTGGTTCTCTTATGTCTTTTTCAGTTCGTATGAATACAGTGTTCTTATGGCTTAACTTCCTCCTTGTTTTAGATAAAGGGTGGGGGCTTATGCTTTCTAAATAAATACTTCATGTGCAGGTATTGACTCACAATAAAATATCTGCTAGATGCTCCTTATTTTAAACCACAAAACCCTCTTATCTCTTGATAAAAAGTTCTTAAGTTCAGTTAATGTAATCTATAGTGACTCTTGAGTTGATAAAAGTACTTATATGATACTTTGCACTGAAAAAGACTAAAAACTACATTGTTCTTGGTGCATATTTTTTCAATAAGTGTGACGGTATCAGCTGACCATGGAGCACTGTCAGTTTGTTGTTTGCTCGAGAAGTGGCTGTAAACTGCGCACTTTGCTCAGTCCTGAACAACTGTTAACTTTTGGTCTGGAATCATTTATTTGGTCATTTGGTTTTAAAATGTTGCTTCTCCTCAGTGAACGTAAGTTTAAATATGTCAGGTGCATTTTTATGTTTGGGTGCTGAACATTTTGTGCCGTTCTTTTCATAAAATTAGACTTCCTGTCACCCGTGTCACAAAGGTACATAGACACCTAACCTTTCATATCGCCAAACCTCAGCCTCCTTTCAGCCACAACGGTTGATTCTGATTGTGTGACAACTCATCATTACCAATGCACACTCAAAACCAACTTTTTTATGGTCTATAAAAAATGAAGAATTATAAAATAAACAATTTCACACAATGTTGATGTTTAATTTTAGGTAATTTCCATACTGCCACTAGGTTTCAATTTCTTTTTTGTGATATCAGGAACACTATTCAATGTATTAGTGAGTGCAATCCATGTATTATTTTGGGAAAAGTTGATGTATGTATATATAAAAAGGAAAGCAAAAAACAAAAACAGTTCGACTTAACATAGAAAAAGAAAGAAATGTATAGCCAGTATACACTCCACTCATCTCACAACATCCCTTACAATAATACCAGCATAAAAATCACCAAATACTCTGATTGAAAACCCCATACTGGTTTATGCCAATTTAATATGTTCACAGGATTATCCCTTTAATGTATATTGGTAGGCTATACACTGAATTCATACACTGGTGTGAGTGACAGTCAGCCTGGGACAATGGAGGACCCTAGGCTGGACTCATGGCCTAAAGCTCTTTATGGCGTGTCCCTAACTAACGCTGACCAGCCTCTTCTCTGCTGACTCCAGCCCTGCATGGGAACATGTTTACCCCCCCACACACACCTACCCCTCCCTCTGTGGCATCAGGAGAGACACCCAGAGGAGGGAGGGAGTGTGGGGGGTCCAGTATACACAATGAACGTGCTGAATAACGGGCTATCACTAGAGCACTCCTGGGTACTTGCCATTGGCTAAAAACCTGTCCAGCGAGCTCTTGATTAAAGTGAAGAAAATCACCCATTATGTCCCCAGTAATTTTCCAGGTTGTTTTAGGCTGTAAATTAATCAGTTACTTATTTTTAAAGTTGACTAAGTCCTTCATTCATATTATTAACCACAATTACTTTTGTAGAGTACACAAATATGTGTACTTGTTTTCGGATGTTATTTTGAAACCATATGAAACACAATCCACTGTTTTGTAGGTGTTGAATAGCCTACACAAAGTGATGTGGTTTTTGACCTGACTCACCCAGCGCTTCTTGAGGCTGTGTGTTATTTGTGACTTAACCATTTTTTTTATTATAGATCCAGATACATCACACAAATAGCAAACTATACTGCCAAGGTGCTTAGCAGAGCATTTTCTTCTTGCTGACATAACGCAAATATGTCGCCTATAGGCTCACCTGTGTAATAGACCAGTTATACCCCCTTGTGAATGTGTTATTGCAAAACTGGCATAAACAAAGCCAGCACTGATGTCTCTCTTATCTCCTCTTCCTTTGCTTTTTTTTTTTAAAGGAGTCTAAACCTGATTGGTGGACATATTTAATATTATGTGCAATCTGATAGGCTGTGCTGCAAGCCACTAACTGAAGGAAGCCTGTTTTTGTTACACAGTCCTGCAGTGGTCTGTGTTGTGTTGCTTACAAATGTTGATCTTCAGACCTTTGCTCTTTAGACTGCTGTATGTTGGCAGCAGCTAAGTGTTGCATTAAGGTTTGGAGTCATTTTGCATGTGCAGTGAATATGAGTTTTATGGTTTATCAGATGTGTCAGTGTTAAGAAACTTATGCATTGCAGGCAGCTCCAAGTGACAAATAAACTGTCCGTTGTGGTCTTGACTGTCAATATATGAACCTATCAAAATGATTGATTTAGGTCTTGATTAAAGTGATTAGGAAGACAATCACGCGCAATCACGTTGATGGATTATTGTGCGTACACGGTGCATTGCATGACAGTAAATTCAATCATGATCAATGGCAGTGCAGAACAAAAGAAGGGGAGAGAGAAGTGATGATGTTTTCTTAGGGGGATTGGTCTTTCTGCTCACGTTTAGGACCCCCCTCTCCCTCACGGGTCGCTCCGCCCACACGTGCCTGTGTCACACGCCATTGGCTGCTGCAAGCCTGTTTTCGTATTCCGATTGGCTCACGTCTTACGTCAATCAAACGAGCCCCGTCTTATACTGAATGTATGCCTAGTAGGACGGTATTCTGCTGTGAGGCTGCAACAGCTGACTGCTGAGCACTTTACCCAGTGCCTCAAGGAACAAAGAGAGGAGGAAAGAGCCATCTAAATTCGATTTTTATTTTTATGGGACTGAAAAGCTTTAGTCACGGCGAACACACGCTATGAGGCACGCAGTAGCACCAATAGAATCCGTGGGGAATAATTCATTCGCAGTGACAAACCTCCTAAAGATATGTTCCCATTGTGAACGGCGTAACAAGAAGGTAAGCGACAAAACATTGTCATAGCTTTTAAATGCCTTTACCCATGTGCAGAGCTGTTTTCATCGTGTCTCGTTCTGTGTATCGTTGAAAAGGGTGTATTTTGGAGCTTTTATTGTTGTCTGTTTTCTTTGGGGAAACAAAGTGCAAGGCAGTCTTTGTCCATAGCTTGTTTACCACAGACTGTATTTACCCCCGTTATCGCTTGTATGTTTCATGTCAGTTTGAGAAAAGTACATTTTCATATTAGACGAATGTTGTCCAGTGTCATGTCAAAGGCGTATATCCAGAATAACGCAGTTTTTGGTTTTTGGTCATTCATTCAGCCCGTGCTTCGCTCATTGTTAGCCCCTCTGCAGACTCAGTGACAGTGGGACATGTCGAGGCAAGCTGCGGAAACTTACAGCGGCTCAAGTCAAAGCAGTGTCCAGGCTTTTGTCTTTAATATTGCATTAGAGGGTGCTGAGCTTTTGTGCTTGTGACAAACACAAAAAAGAGAGAATACAACATACAGTATGCATTCATTACTACTGGACTAAACATATTGAGAATATGAAATGATTAACCCACCTCCACTTGTCATTGGAAAACATCTTGCAATTTTGAATCAAACTTGGGGCTGTGCTCAGGGCTGCCGCTATAGAAGATCATTGTATATTGTATTTAAAGGGCGTTTCTGTATTTGTTTCAGGACTTGGGAGTAAGGATCCCAAGACCCCTTGGCAACGGACCAAGCAGATTTATCCCAGAAAAAGAGGTATGACTCATTTATTATTATTAATAATAATCTTGTCTGTTAGTCAAGCACTATAAAACTAATCTCTTGCTTTTTATTATTAGATTCTCCAGGTCAGTAAAGTGGACCCCCGAACACAGTCGATATTTGAGGATGCGTTTGCAGCCCTCGGACGCCTTGACAATATCTCCCTAGTCATGAGCTTCCACCCTCAGTATCTGGAGAGCTTTCTGCGCACACAGCACTACCTGCTGCAGATGGACGGGCCCCTGCCTTTGCACTACCGACACTACATCGGCATCATGGTACAGGAGACACATTTTGTCACTCCCTCACATTTTATTAAACCTATTCCAGACGTGTGGTGGTTAAGTCGTGATGTATTTTTCAGGCGGCAGCTAGACATCAGTGCTCCTACCTGGTCAATCTACACGTCAACGACTTCCTCCAGGTGGGGGGTGATCCCAAATGGCTCAACGGACTGGACGAGGCCCCACAGAAGCTGCAACAACTCGGAGAACTCAACAAAATCCTGGCCCACAGACCCTGGCTTCTCACCAAGGAGCACATCGAGGTACAATACTTATGTAACTGAGAGATCAGTGTGCAGACTGATGTAAAGCAACAAAGGAGTGCATTATTTAAAGCGACAAAGGAAGAACAAAACATATACTAAAACCACTGTACTTTTCTTCTCGTTTTAGCACCTTCTGAAGGCAGAGGCACACAGCTGGTCCCTGGCAGAGCTCATTCATGCAGTGGTCCTCCTCACACACTATCACTCCCTCGCCTCATTCACATTTGGCTGCGGCATCACCCCCGAGATCCACTGTGACGGCGGCCACACCTTCAGACCCCCCTCCCTCAGCCAGTACTGCGTCTGTGACATCGCCAACGGCAACGGGCATGCAATTCATCACGATGATCTGGGCAACCAGGTCAGTTATTTTTCAATGACATTTATAAAGTAACCCCTTAACTGCAGTATTATGACATGCCCTTGTTGTAACCGTTCTAACATTGCTAACTTTTTCGTCTTGGTGAAGGAACTGAACGGGGAGGTGGAGGTGCTGATGGAGCGGATGAAGCAGTTGCAGGAGTGCGATGAGGAGGCCACTCAGGAGGAAATGGCTACACGCTTTGAGCGCGAGAAGTCCGAGAGCATGTTGGTGGTCACCGCAGAGGACGAGGAGTGTGTCCCATCCAGGGATATCTCACGACACTTTGAAGACCCCAGCTATGGCTACAAGGACTTTTCCAGGAGAGGGGAGCAGGTGCCCACATTTAGAGTCCAGGTATAGATTGCCCCTTACATATTTAGACATATGTGTAAACAGTAGATAGTATTGCTAACTCTCTGCGTATGTTTTAGGACTACAGCTGGGAGGACCACGGTTACTCTCTTGTGAATCGGCTCTATCCAGATGTGGGTCAGATGCTGGATGAGAAGTTTCAGCTCGCCTACAATCTGACGTACAACACCATGGCCACACACAAAGATGTGGACACCAGCATGCTGCGCCGCGCCATCTGGAACTACATCCACTGCATGTTTGGCATCAGGTCAGTGCAGCGCCACAGACTTAAATATATTGTGGTCATTATACACTCTTTCTTATATTACCTTTCTTTTTATAGATATGATGATTATGATTATGGGGAGATAAACCAACTTCTGGATCGTAGCTTTAAGATCTACATAAAGACCATGGTGTGTAGTCCCGAAAAGACCACCAAACGAATGTATGAAAGTTTTTGGAGGCAGTTCCAGCACTCCGAGAAGGTTAGTTACACCGCTTTTCCTATTCATGTATCTGTCTTTATTTATAACCAGACAATAATGCATTAACATGTTTTTTTTCCTTTGTGTCCTGCAGGTCCATGTTAATCTGCTTCTTATGGAAGCGCGAATGCAAGCTGAACTGTTATACGCTCTGAGAGCGATCACCCGCTACATGACATGAAGTGCTTTTGGCGTTTTTATCAATGTCTTTTTTACTGTTATTGTTGTTATTCGTTTTGGGAAATCATATTCTGGCTGAGACCAGCAAAAGGAGATGTGAGAAGCCCTACTTTGTGACGATGCTTGTTTGGTGTTGGATCGCTGAAAAGAAGAACAAAGAAGATTCATCTCAAAGAGGACTCACAGACCTAGTTTGTGTGGCCTGCAGTGCCAAACCTGACCAGCAGAGAGCATCCTGGAGCAGGCTCCTCTACTGGGGAGAATGTGCCAGGCCATAGCACTGACACCAGACGCATCCAGAAAGACATTTCAGTATTTCAACATGCAACACACTGGTTGCCAACACGTTCTGTCTCTGACAGAGATATGGCCCACAGAAAATCTATGTTAACTGTGCAGCCACAACCAGCCTGCACTTTGATTTTGTGTCACTGTTTGTTGTTTAGTTTCTTTAATTTCATTTTGTATTTTGAGAGATGAGGATGTTGAGGATATGGTTGCTGTTCGCAGTAACATAGACAGGAGAATTACTGTGGACGGTGATAATCGTGTGCCTGAACTCTCCAGCACAGTGTGCATATGTGCTGGTGTTGCTGCTCCCATCTTGTATTCACCAGGGTCATATTGACCCCAAAAGCCCGCTCCTTAAACCTTTTCTGCCCCTTAAACCCCTATCCATTTGGAGATAATGCATTACCCCATTCCTTCTCAACCCTGATCTAAATCTCAAATGTCGATAAGCTAATCTGAGGAGTAACTCAAAGAACACTGTTGAGCCCCGAGTTTGTGTGAATGTGACTAACGTGTGGATGGATGTGTGCATTTCACTCATGTGAGAAAAGTACGTCTTCAAGTTTCATGTGTCAAAAAAGCGAGGCACTTTGAAGGAAAACTTCTTGCTTCTGCTGTAGCTCTGTAATTGTGATATAACTATATCATTTGTTAATGACGTTTGTATTTCTGGTAATGAGAAAAGCCTAATCGAAAGAAAGATCACCAGGATTTGTGAGAGGGATTTGCTCCCGGTATCTGAGGTGTGAGAGTCACACCTATCTGTCTTCCGCTTATCCCCACGGCCTGGTCCCCTGATACTTTCAAAGCTTCAGATTGTGAATTTACCAGTAAATGAATACCTCTCATGTTTTCTTTCAAAACATATAAGAAGTGCTCTTGGTGAGCAGAGACTTTTGGGTGGTGGGTTCCCGTGATCGGGGGCGCCCCGCTCCACACAGGGCCACAGGTTGTAGCTGTGCTTATTTCCTCTCGAGGGAAGTCTAACCCATGCAAAAGCAGCTTTTTTATTTGATCCAGAGGCATGTTCCTCTGCTGTATGTTTTGTTTACTAAACCAGTACTGCATTCTTCTGAGTTGGACTGAGACAGACGAATGAGTGATAAGAAGATGGTCTAAGGATGGTACATTGGACATGCTTTGACAGAAAGTGGATAGTTTTTTTGGTGTCAGTTACTGACATTTTTATATAAAAACTTAAAAAAAAAAACAGAAAACTTAAAAATAAATCATGATATTGAATTGTTGTGTATCCTTTGTAGTTTTCTCTATTGCTTCATTCAGAGATTGTATTAGTGCAAAGATTGATACAGTTAAGGATACAGCAGCCCTGATGGCTCTGTGGAGCTGCACACATTGGGACTTGTGTCATGAGCATTATATCCACACGCTCTTATGCAAACGGTGACTCACAAACATCACCTCATCTCCAAAGTACACAGCTCTGAGACAATAAAGACTCAATCCGCAGTGCGCTGGACTCAGGGCAACACTTCAGTTTGGTGCAGAACTTTTATGTGAATTTACTGAATAAGCTCAAACCCATGACGCAGCAGCTCATGGCTCAACTACAGGGGATAGCTGTTTCACCTTGGGGAAGTTGGAGACTGTCTGAATTTCAGGGTATTTTTCATCACAACTAATACACAATCACCAGCAGCAATCTCAGTGCTATCACCACTGACCAAACTGCCTTTACATTACAGTGGCTTTTCCAGACAAAACCGAAACATTTATTAAGCAACAGTATCAGCCAGTCAACCTTATTTCATATCAACCCGGTGAAAAATAGAGAACAATGTTTTTAGGCCTGGCTTAAAGTTGTTTAGACATTTTTTAAAAACCTTGATGTCTTGTGGTTGTTATAAGATGTGAAAACAGAGGGAGGTTTTTACATTAAGTGCCGTTTCTGATTTGTTTCAGTGTAATAACAATGTGATTTTTGAAATGCTGTACTTTAGGCTACTTGGTGTACCTTGTAAACGCACTGCCTGGCCCCATATCTGTGTAACAATAAAGGCTTGGAGAAGCATATTGTTTTTTGGACTTTATTCCCAACAAGATTTCATAACATGGTGCTAAAAGGCTTTTACAGATCCAACTGGCTGCAGATCAAAACTCAGACTATTATCTGATGTTTGGAGAAATAAGATTATTAAAATGACATGAAAAAAGCTAAATAATCAGATTTCTTTCTGATCATGGTCCCTGTGATTACTTACATCAGATTTTGTAGATTGGATATAATTTAAATAATCTTAAAGGTCCAGAAATCAGATTACAATAAGATTTTGTTTGCATGTAACTGCAGCCAGTGATGTTCTATTTCTATCTTAGTGTAAAATTCAAGAGGTAAGTATTTCTTTTATTGTTCAAACTGGTTTTAAACACTATTAATTCCCTGTATACTCCAGATAAAGTGCAGTAAAAATTAAAAAGTAAAACTCTGTAACAAACATTTCAAATAAATAAAAAGTAAAAACACACATTTTCAGAAATTCTAAACAAAAATAAAAATGTGAATTCAATTGTTATAGCAATACAAAAAACAAGTTTGCCTAATTATGGCAACAACACTAGTAAATCTTATGTTCAGTTCAACTATTCAATGTCAAGGGTTGTAGAACTTTCATCAGTTTTTGAGCCACAGGGAAGAACTCCAACTCCCAGCATGCTCTGTGGTAGTCCTTTAAATCTTCATTTTCAATCCATTTCAGGGCCTCATCTTTGTCTGAAAAATAAACAGAAGGAGAAAGGGAGGGGCATGAGTCTCCCATATCATCTATGAACTGTCGCTGTTATGCCTTTTTCCCTGAGGATGACTTCTGTGAAAAGACACTATCTTGTCCCTTTGGTATGTTATGTAAGTGTAATAACATAGTGCACCAACCTAGGTATGCAGTCAGGATGTCCAGGAGGGCCTTGCTCTGCTCTTGATCCAGGAAAGATTCGGGACAGCCCCCTGCCAAGTTCCATAAGGCCTGGCAGAGCTGTCCCGCAAGCTGCCAGTCGCCCTGTCCCAAGTCTTGGAGGCAGTCCATTAGCCTGTGGTCCACACACAAACAAACACATAAAAGAGACATCACATGACCACAGAGAGTATCACATGAGGAGCAGGTCTGTGGGCATTAGCTCTACATCAGTGGGCCTTCAGCTCACACAGGTCAGGGACATCTGACATTAAGACGATTGGGTTATGTAACCACATTCTTTTTAACCCTTTGTTTGACAATATAGATGTGTATTTTAGAGTTGTATATTACATATATTACTCATCAAATATTTATCTAAAGCATTCTGTAGAATTAGTAATACATATACTGAACAATATATAAAAATGTAAAGGTTCACAATGTAACTTTTCCAAATGGCACTTGTCTCAATGAAGATTATTGCTTTGCATGAAAGGTTCCACCTAATGGCATCAAACAACTGACTGTTAGGTACAGGGTCAATATTAGGAACAGTGAAAATGCTTTTAAGTGACTTACAAATATATTTGATTAATTCAATCACTGTACCAGTGTCTCAAGTAAACTGTGTTTAAAAAGGGTGTTTGTTTTTTTTTTAAATTGTGCAACCCTGTATAGGGTTGTGTAAGGTTTTATAAAGCTTTCATTTCCCAGCATGAGCCGCCACAGTGTAATGTTATCATTCACGTCATGTAGGTAATCTTAGCCCAGCTTTTCACTGTTGTATTATGTGTATGTATTGTGTTATAAATTAGATACTTTGTCCTCATTGTGTCCTTACTTGGCTGCGATCCCCTCCAGAGCCAGACTGTCCCTGTTTGGGATGTCCGAGGACAGGTTTGTGAGCACCCCGCAGGCAGAGAAACACACGTCTGGGCTTTTGGAGTCCAGCAGAGTCACAATGAATTGGTGAGCTGGAAAATACAGAGAAGAAAGATGAGTGATGGAGGAGCCGAGAGGCCCAAAGATTAGACGCACCACTCTCTCCTGAGTCAGCAGACTTGTTTATCCTGACGGGAGCTGGCCTTGCAGATAACAGACACAACATAAAGGAGGACAGAGCTGCACATTCAGTCTCTCTCACTCAGAGGTTAGAGTCATATGGGCAAATGACACAGCATTTTAGTAGGGATTTAAATTTAAAAAAAGTGTGTTTTAGAGTGTTATAATTTAACAATTTTTGTGTTTTACATTAAATTGTATTAAGGGTTAGGGTTATTTATCAAGTCTTAAAACCAGCATAAGTTCACTGGCCTGTCATCTATTGTGACTGAATTTCAAAATATTTTAAACAAAATATATAATGTTATTAAAATGATTAGAGAACTATTTTAAGAACTAATATGAAACATTTGTACCTTTGCAAACTCATAATAGACACAGAATACACACCTTTACTTTGCATAATGTAGTCTCTCACTTCACTGGACTGTGTCAAATTCCCAAAGACACGCGTGGCTTCTAGCACTGCGTCCATACTGGAACTGAGTAACAACTTCATCATCACTGAAAACACAAGCACATATACAGTTAAAGCTGTGATTCTTTTGCTTTTGAGGTATAGACAGATTGCACTTGTTCTCACACTTGGCGATGGTGAGGTGACAGTTTCTGAGTGCTGAATTTGGCTGTTGGTAGAAAGACAGGTTGTTGATTGTAGCAGCAGAGTTCACTGTTAGCTCTTCGCTCTCCTGGACACACCTCAGCTCTGAAGAAACACAACAAGAATGGATGATATATTGGTACTGTTTACCTTATCCACATAAGATGGTTTTGTATTGACTTTTTGCAGCAGCTATTGTACTGTCTCTTTTCCCTTCTTCTGGGGTCACAACAGCAAATCCTCACCATTTGTATATTAAATCACATTTGGATTTATTTTCTTGCACATCACTTTTTATGGTCTTGCCCAAAGTGTCTACAGTGCCTTTAATCCCCTTGTGGATTTATTGCTGTATTACACATTTACCTGCTGGATATCCTAAAGTAGTAATGATGCTAGAGGCTTTTAAAATAGTATGCATGGAAAGTAATGTAAAGTATGTGACACAGTTGGCACGCTAATAAAGCTCATGTTAAGGTCAATGTGACCGGGACCAGCCCTGGCTCCAGGCTGGGCTCCGATCCTGAAATAGTAGTAGATCAGGAGTGTGATTGTGATACATCTGAAATACTGTGGTTACTAAGTGAGTAATGTAGATTTCATTTCTGATTTTGACTGGTCTCTTTGTTGTCACTCTGAAAGTTGTATAATATGAATCTGTGGTCTGCCCAATGTGAAGATTAAAGCAGTCTATTGTAATTTTGATATCTGGTCATCCACAACCACCCAACTTCATCTGTCACCTATGTTCAGTTCAATTATTTCAGTAGTTAGCATTCTGCCAAAAGGAAGTCAAAGTTACAAATCAGAGGACTCAGTACCTAGTATACACAGTACGGAATATTTAATAAATCTATTGTGAGGATTATACAATTTTTAATAGACTTTTGTCAATGTACTACAGTTTCTGACTCACTGAAGCTGAATTTCATTACATATAAAATTCTCAGTATTTAATTTCACTTGCTCAGTTATATTTCCTTACTGCACCGAAACCAAAATGTGAAGACTGAAACTGCAACTTTCTCATCACCAGTTTCAGTTCAAAATGTCTTGAAACAAAACCGCATGGAAGAGTGTCTCACATCCTGCAGCTGCTAAGTCTCACAAACGGGTAAACTGTAGGAGGATGCATCACGTGACGAACAGCACGTACAGACAGAAAAACAAATGAAAGAGAAGACACATGGGCACTCTGATCAAAGTCAGGTTTGTTCCCAGCAGCACGGATGTGGTTCGCTGCTGATGTATAACTTACTGTACACAAGAACAACAGGTACAGTGTGTAGACAGTTACAGGAGGTGAAAATCCAAATTCAGAAGAATCAAATCAGATGAATTGGTAGGAAAGAAACTGGTTAACAAAACTATAGAGCTATGGGAACTGACTACTGACTACATGAACAGAAACACTGCAAAGTAAACCAGCTGTTGGAGAGTCTATGATTCAATCAACACCACAACATTTGTTTTAATAATGTGTGCTGTAGTAAGTGTATGATCTATCTTCAAGAATATTAAAGATGCAGCATGTAATGTTCCTAATGAACAGTCAGTAATCTGCTTGTCTCAGTGGCAATCTCCATGACACCATCAGACACAGGTCAGATTTGTGGAAAGGCGAGTTCGCTCACAGAAACAATGCACGTAATTCAGATATTTTGTAAGTGAATAAATGCAAAACAGATATGTTTATTATACTGTAGAACCTTCCAGGCAAAGCAGTAACATCTCAAAGAGAAAAGTTACACAGTGCACCTTTAACTAGAGCTATTTTTTCCTCACCCACAACCTAAATTAAGTCAACTTCCACTTATCATTTGTACATGAAATGCCTGTCCAGGTGCAACCCCTTTATGGTATTTTGTATTGTGTGATTTGATAGCGATAAAAGCATAACCCAAAGGCTCTGTATAGCCTTCTGTGAGCTTACCTAGAGTTTCTATCAGCAGTTGAATGAATGTGGCGTTGTTGGCCAGAGCTGGGCCTACACTGCGGTGGATGCACATATTAGCCATCACCCGCACTAACTTCACCAGCACATCATCACACTGGTGAGGACCCCCCGGTAGTTTGGTCCCTGTGTGTTGTTGGGGGTGTCCTTTGTCGTTGTCTCTTCGCTGGTATCTGTGGTAGATCTGAAGAAGGACGTCCACGCTGCCATCACATTCAAACAGCTGCAGTCGAGCCTCGTCACTTTTGGCCGTGATGTTTCCCAATGTGAACAGCAGGCGAACAACCAGGTCCTGGAGAGGAGAGCACACAAGGTTAATTATATGAGACATTTAAAGGTGCTTTATGTAACTTTGGAAACATGTAACAATGGAACTATCCCTACAGTATGGCAGTATGTGAGTGGGGTCCCCTTTCTACAGATATGACTTTTGACTTGGTTACAAAATTCTCAATGTACCAAATTCTGGATCTCTTAAGCATATGAATTTTATCTTATGTTTGTTGTTAGGCTGCCATTTTAAAACTGCATTCTGTTCTAACTTTCAAATACAATCTACACAACAAATGGTCCTAACCTTTTAGAAAGACAGGCATGATTTTTTTCTTAGGAGGTTACATAAAAGTCTAGACCAAGTTGGTCAGACCCTAAAACTGGTCACCTATTTTTTCCTCTCAGTTACAACACAGAAACTATCCACAGAATGACAGCATGTGAGTCAGTGACGCAGATAACATGTGGAGCAGATGATCAGGACTCACTTAACCGTCTCTGAACGTGCAGGGACACTGCTCTGTGGACAGAACAGTTTGTCCCGGGACAGGCTTCTCATTACATGTCACGGGCTGTGCTCGTATGCCTTTAAGAGCTGCCTGTTTTTCATCGCTACATATGTTACAGATGTGTGTCCTCCCCCTCACCCCTGTTTCACCTTTTGTTGACTTATCCTCCCTGTTTTCTCCCCTTTAATTCCACCCCTAATTGCTTCATTATGTCTGGGCGCCTGATTGCAAGTCAAAACAGAATAGAAACATGCACACAACGTACAGTGAATGTGATTGGACAGAATGTGATGGTAAACACCGTGCTCTGAGGGGTAAACATGTTAAATTGAGTGGGATTGTATAACCAGTAAACGTCTTGGAACACGTAGAACCAGAGGGGCTAATAAACTCACCTGCTTTTGATGGTGTTGGCTCAGCACTTCCAAAAATAGTTGGTAACAGCCGGGGGTCTGGGAGAGAGTGAGGCGGCACTCGGAGTATGAGGACAGTTTACTAATAGGGAGAGTGGACAAATAAAGTCAGTAAAGAAACCACTGTGCTACAGACAGCATGGCTTTCATTAGTGGTATTCAGTACTTAATCAGAGGATGTTCAAGTACTTTTAGACCCTTCTGCTGGATTGGGGAAGATTATAAAGCAGTTATTTGAACATACACAGCAAACACTATGATAATTGTCGCAGATAGGCCTATTTGCTGGATCCTCCAAAAACATTTCTCAGATTACAGCCTTTAGAAATTAATAGTGAAAATATTATGTTTTTCAGCTAATGGAGGACCAAATTATGCCATGGCTATTCATATTCTATCAAGGATTTTAAAAATGGTGATAAAACGATGTACTCCACTCAAAAACTAAGGGTGGGTTCACATTTTGGTCCTTGTTTGAATCCAGGTTAGTTCTGATGTAGACTTGGTTTAGACCTCTTCTAGTCCCAGTTTAGTTCTAGTATAGTTGAGGTTTAGTTCTGAGTTAAGACCTAAGTCTGATATGTGAAGTGTGACTGTGTGAACGCACCCTGAAATACAACCAAGCAGCGAAACAGCTTCACATGAATGGTTCTGCTAGTTCATGTAACACTAGACCTACACTATTTCTGCACTGGTAGCACAATTCATCTCCCTATGGTGTAACTGTGCTTTAAAATTAGAAAAAGTTACCTGAATATTCTAGAGATATTGGTGCAGATGTCCTGGTCTTTGTGGTGTTGCTGTAGCAGCAGGCAGAGGTCAGACAGCAGACCAAACGAGACGAAGAGTGGGCGAGACTCGGGGTGATCGGCCAGGTTTCTCAGGGTCGCTGTTAACTGGGTCAAAAATGAAAATGTTCATTTGAACAGAAAAAAAGCATTATCACCCTGGTGCATTTTTGTCCTAATAATTAGACCTTGTTAACATTAGAACAATCAGATCAGTGGGTGAATGCTCTACCAACTGAGCTACTGCCGCCCTACATCAGAAACGTTACAAAGTGCACCTTTAACTTCACAAATATCTAATTCCATATGTGATACTATGTGATTTTTTCTTTACCTGTACAAGTATGTGTCCTGCTATGGTCATATTTGTTTCTTCTATGGGCTGGAGCCTTTGAATGAGTTTGTGAAACACTCCGACACAGTTTTTGTCCAGCAGTCGCTTGAGGATGGTTGTGTTTCCAGACAGAAACTTTAGAGTTCCCACACAGTACAGAAGCACCTCTCCACTGGAAGACACATCCTCTGTGCTCAGAATGTCCAACAGTGAATCTACATGTGAGAGAATGAAAAACTGAATTAATAAACATTGTATAGTGTTTTTATGATAAGGAGAAAAAGTAAAAGATACATTATGATACTCAGAGATAAATACAAGACAATTTTTCGATTACGCATTATTATAAAATCCACTTCTCAGAAAGGAAATATGGTGACTCATATTGTTGTCTAATAGTGGGCACCAAGGTTATGCTAATCCAGATGAGCCAAAACAAGGTGATAGATGAACATTAAACCCCATAAAACAATAGATAGTGAAGGGCAGTGCATGTGGAGCAGATCACCATGACCCAGAAGAACGTTTACCCAAGACGGGGCTGTCCTGGAAGAGGTCGTCGTTGCTTTCACTGCGGCTCAGCTTAAACACAAGCTTACAGATGTTCAGGAGGTTGTTCCCACTAACACACAGCTGGACACAAAAGAAATGTTATTACTATTGAAATGATCTGCAGGAGTTTTTATACATTGGCATCTCTATCTGTGAAAATATTAAGCTTTCTCAGTAAAGGAAAATATGGTACTATAGTTATACACATATTTTTAAATCCTGTAATTTTATGTTGACCTAAAGCATTTTTAAGGACTAATTTTCTTAAAATGTATACTTTCAGTTAGAACAATGATAACATATTGCATTCATTCATTAAATACTTCATTTTTTATTGTTTAAACATGTACTGTGTAACTCTGGAAGGTTGAGGTGTTATTGTTGCTGCAATTGCTACAATGTTCCACCGTATGACTTTAAACACCAGAGAGACAAGCAGGTGAGGCTAAAGAAGAAGGTTTCTGAGCCATCAACACATATGGAATTAAATAAATTCTACATAAATATATTAATGCCATACTGTGGAAAAAAAAAAAAAAAGTAATAACATTATCATTGAGACTGGCAAGTGACATGCCCTGTGCCAGTGCCAGTACCAGAACTATAACAAGATTAAACCAAGACAAAAACATGTCTTAATTGACATGTCTTAACAAAAAGATGTTTAGTGCCAGATGGGATATAGACTCACTTGAATGCAAATCTTGGCGATGTGCAGGTTTAACTGGGCTGAGTTGAGGTCAATGAGGCGGAAAAGTGTGCGTAGTATCTTAGAGCGGCCTTTACAGCGACGCCCCAAAATGTCTGCTGTCGCCATGGCATCATAAAGCCGCTCACACAGATTACACAGGCCATCATCTCCCACCTCTGAGCCCATCTGACCTCCTGCCATTGCAGACACACAAAAAATAATGTGAAGTTTTGGACAGCAAGGACATGTGCAACCAAAAACCAAAGCAAATACTGCATCCCAAAATGAAAACATCTCATTGTGAGTGTTGGCAAGTTTGGGGCGAAGTAAAACCCAGATATTGTGAAATAGACTACTCCGAAGTGAGATTTATTATTTGCACAGGAATACTTGGGGTTACGTGTTCCCAAAAAATCATTGACCAGGACAGGAGAACAACATGTACCAATTTTCTGGGAAACTCTGAAGACATAAATTACAAAGAATGTCTGTCAAAAACAAAATGAATAATTATGGAGTTAATATATTTTACTGAAGATTCATACTGAGATGCAAATATGGCTAGCACAATAACTATAATATATTGCTAATACACATAGCAAGAAGGTCCTCTGTAGGTACCCCTATTTCCGTAGGCTAATCTAGGTACTCCTGACCAAGATTCAAGCACAAGATAGGCAGATGGGGCCTCATTTTGTATTGATTGCATATAATTTTGTCTTGTACATTCTCCTGTTTATGTTGAATCAGTGGTTATCTTTGCACATAATTACATTTGTTTTTGAACATGTCTTAAACTGAGTTTTACATCGGAGAGGAGAGGCCCAGTCCTGGAAGCTACAAACTAGACGAAGAGGAAGAGCAAAGGGTGGAGTCTTTCCTTGTTTTTGAGCTGAAATAAATGTTTTCCCTATATAAATAACAGACTCTGGCTATTCCTAAAAAAGGCCCGGCTACAGTCTGGCAATAAACACAGCTCTGCAATTTCCCACTCATCTAAAAGGTGTTTTATGCATGAGCCAGAAGCCACTTGCTGTGATAAATATTTAATATTTATCTTTGAAATGAATTTTCCATTAAATTTGTAGAATGTTAAAATATTTACATACACAGATTTCATTTCATGGCTGCCAGACTACAGTTTCACTCAGACAGTTTTATGTGGACACCAAGCAAAACATTTTTAGGATTGGTTTTCATCTGTGGAAGAAATTACATTAACTTCTAGGAAAGAGCTTGAAGAGACACTAATAGAGGATACCGCATGTATGAATTATTGACATCATAATATTTATATATTAAGATCTGTATAAAAGTTTTGGCTAATGAAAGTAATATTTTAAGGATTTTATACCTGGCTAGTTTAAATTATTTACTTAAAACCACAGTATGTACATTTTTAACCAAAAAATTGATTCTACAAATCTACACAAAGAAGGTCTTCTCCTACTTGTTTCCATGGATATATTGTTTCTTTAGCTACAATCTTGTACAGTATAGCATAAAACCTATCTATGTCCATGGAGAATGTTCCAAATGATGGTTTTAACTTTCAGTTTCCATGGAATAATGTAGGTGATGTGCCACCCCCAGAAAGTTACATACTATACTTTAATGCATCATAAAGTGTCAGTAGATTATAATATATTGTTTATTTCTCTACCTGTCAGAGTGTTGAAAAAAGGCAGTTAGAATTGCCATGGAGCAGGTAGTCTTTCTATGTTTTGTAATAATAATCTGTTTCAAAATGTTATAATATCCGATTGTGGCAGAGGCTCATATGATGCTTGTGTCTTCAAATGCATATATCTTCAGCACTCTACCTGCGACTATGGCCTCTAGCTGTTCCAGAAGAGGAGCAATCCTATTATTCCAGACCAGTGACTGTGAATCCTGCTCAGTGCACAGTCTGCTGTCATTGTTCTTCACATCTGAAAAGGGGAGACATATTCACAGTTAGCCAATTACCGCCCACTCAGACACCACAACATTAGCAGCAGCAGTAGCAGCCAAGCACAGTTCGCAAGTTCAACATCTCAAAATAAAACTGCAGGAAGTTTGAATCCACAATGAAAAGGTCAATGTCTTCAACGCAACTTCCTCTGATTTGTCACTGATTTGTCGCTAAGTGGGCAAGTATGCATCATGTAAATTTGTTATGGACTTTTGCACCCATGTTCTCAACAGGAAACTGTGGTTGCACAAGCTAACAGTACAAGCTCTTTTCTTTGCTGATTGTGCGGAGATGGGTTCAATCAAAGGTTGTCAGGGTTAGTCACAGAAGTTAATGTTGCAATAAACATCTGTGGGCAGAATATGAACCCATTTGGAAAAAGATTTCAAAAGAGTATTATTTATATTATATGTGATGTTCTTAAATCTTTCTGTGATTTCCAAGGGTGGATCAAAAGACAAAAGTAGAAGTGGAACAGTTACAACATACAGCTTTATAAATATGGTTCCCCTTACATTACAATAACTTGCACAGCAGATGTTTTTGAATAAACACATGAAATGGGGCTGCACAATTTTAGAAAGAAATGTAATTGCACTAGTAGAGTTATAATTTATGTTTAAAATGCACCATACTGTTCAAAGTGTACATTGTAAACAACCCCAGGAGCAGTTTAGAGGCGATGAATAGCTAAACTAAAAGAATCCCATGCATTTCATTTTTAAGCAGAGGTCCTAACTACAGCTACAATTTATTTATTTATTTTTTTTAAAAAAAAGGCTTGATATAAAATTGGATGATCTATTGCGCAGCTCTAGCATGAAAGGCCTTATACATTTTACATAGTGGTACATGAATCTATTTGCCATGAAAGCTATGAAAGGTTACTTAGCTTGAGACCCACCTGCTTTACATTTTGCACCCACGTTGGCCTTGACCTCCAAGTCAACACCTTGTGAAGATATTTTACTGTAGACACAACGAAAGATATGTTCATGAGATCAAAATTATGTAAATACTGACTGTATACATGAATAATCATATCAAGTAATAAAAACATGTTTATGGGTTTTAGAATGATGAGAAATTTTCTGGAGCAATTAACAATTTAAAAGTAAATTTTATATATAATGTCATAAAGAAAATGTTGCTTATAACAGGAGGATGAAACGCATAATTTTTATTTTTTATTTTTTGTACATTCATCTAAAAGTTATTTGCTATAAAGTCATAACACATTCCCAACATTTCCACTGGGTGTCTCTGTTGCTGCAGTGGTGGAGGCCTGGCTCAGAGCAGGTGCTGTTATCTCTGTATCCCGTGTTGTCAGTGTAGGTACATTTGACCACATGTAGATCCGTATCGGTCTAACAGTCAGAAAAACACAGAGCCTTGTCTCTGAACAGGAACCAAGTGACGACTCTTGTGGTTCTTCTGGTTTAGATCTGCTCGTGCTCTGTCTCCCGTCTGACGCCTTAAATGCTCACGCCCTTGTCGTGATACATTCTGTGAGTTGTGGGTTTCTCCAACTGTGCATCATCATGAGTGTATTTTACTCTTGTCATGTCACTGTCAAATGCTCTGTGGCTTGCCTCGCACTTGCAGCCGGACTGCCCTAACTGTGGGAATAGAACTTGTCTGTTTCATCAAAGTCACGCAAATATAAGGTGTTAGCATAAACATATAATTATTGTATTGTAAATGTATGTGCATTGTAATTATTATTATGTACTGTGTGTCTGACTGAGTAAAAAAAAAAAATGCATTGAAACACTTGATTGCACTGTAGAATAGAATGAAAAATAAATAGCATGGTAACTAAAAGTCTAAAAGTTCTGTTAATGGTAATGCATCAGTTGTTGGTATTATGACTAGGAATGCACCCATCCGATACTGGCACCTGATATTGCACTGATACTGAAAAATTTCCTGGACTATTTACTGGTAATAGTTGGCCCAGACTCATAATGTTTGAACTTTATTTACACAAAGCTGTCCAGTAGTTACTTATGGGACAAATAACAGCTACACACATAACACATTTGGATTGGTTCTGTCTTATTATAGTTTTGTCGAGTTGCTAATGGGCATCAGCAGATACTTAAACACAGATACTTACAGCTACAATATCAAAATTATCCCTTATTATGACTAATCCTAGCCCTAACAACCATAACCATAATTACAACCACAACCCAGTAGGAAAACTGCAAACATGGTTATGATTTTCTTGATAATAATCTAGAATCAAGACAACAAAACTGATTTATTCCTAGTTATTCAAGAAAGTTAAAATGCTAGTTCTTATTCCTTTGCTGTTACTATACTGTAACGTAAGGTGTGGCTAAATATTCAGAATTAATTAATAGATGTGGATTTAAATAGCATTTACTAACCAAACTACATTATTTCTGTACAGTTTTTTATTGGGATTGTTCAGTTTCTTCATGTTTGGTCGGTGCTATAGTTATAGCTTTCTATGACAATCCAACTTTTCACTTCTAATTTGATTTATCTTCCCATTAGTATTTTTCCCCCTGAAGATAAAAAGTATGACTCATCCATCTCTCTTCATCCATTTTGAAATTCTCCCTCTACGCATCCTGCTGTTAGAAAAGTGCACTTCCCCAGACCCGGTGGACTTAGTGGAGGTTATTGGTTTAAACTGGCAAAGGCGGACCGTGCACCCGGCTAAGACATGGTGCAGAAGATGTCAGCGATGGAGCTTTGTCTTTGTATGATAGGATTAAGAGTCTGATAATAAGGCCTCTTTGTGTGATCCGGCCTTCTCAAAGACATGACCTCATCCCTGTGCGCAGCAGTCACAACATGCTGCTGCCAGCCTTACCCCAGATGGGCACCCAAATCTAATAGAGAGAGAGCCATTTGGAGCTATAAAGCCACGGCTTACTGGAGAAAGACAAATCAAGTGATGTCTAATCTTCATATCGCATCCAACCCATCAGATTAATATGGCATGTCGTTTGTATTTTCACTCTCACTACTTTCTGTGGCAAAATTATACAAAATATACAGCCAAAAATCCAAACATGTGGACCACCTGTCAATAATAGGTTTTCTAATCATGTTGTTACGTTGACCTATATAATAAACTGTATAATACAATGAAATAATGAGCAGTAATACTATGATATGCAAAAGTTATCTCAGTTATCTATCTTTCAATCATAAACTGACTCACCCCTATATGTTTTTATTCTGCTCTTTTCTCTTTTAATGTCGATGAATTATGATGAATATTTATGTTTTGATTTGTTTGCATTGTGATATTAATGCCTTTCTTATTCTGTAAAGCGCTTTCAATTACTTTGTGTACAAATTATAGTGCTATACAAATAAACTTGCCTTCTTACCGTGACCCACTATCACCACCAGACCTGCAGTTTTTAATATTGTCCAACCTCTATACTTTGTCAGCACTGTCAACATTTCTCATCTGTCCCTTCTTCATAGAGAATAGTGCAGTTTTAGGCCATGTGGGAGAGCGCAATAGGAACTGTACTTAGAGGCCATGATGGGATTGTGTAATAGTTTCTGTGCAAAGTGGATGTCAATATGTGTAATGCCTTTTTTTCTTTTCTATGGATTATGTAGCTCTTGGTCAGTGGATGTATTGTGTACTGTGCTTATTTGTATTATTTGGTGACAATAAAGGCTTATCTACTTACTGCATTGTAGGGCTGCACCTATTTTATTTTATTTCTCAACTAGTCAGCGATTTTATTTTCAATTAGTCGACTAGTCAAACTATTATTTGTGCTGTACAGAGTTTTTTTTTTTTTTTTACCAGATAAAGATTGAAATATGATAACTGTAGGCTTCTAGATGTATATTTAAATAAAGTGTATTATTAACAATAAACAGAAATTGTTCTTTCTTTTTCCCCCTTTCCCCTTTTTGATTTTATAATGCAGTTTTTTCTGATAAAAGGTACATGTGCTATAGTGTCTATTTACGCCACATAACAATTTTAATGGTCGACTTTTAATTGTCATTACAACCCTACTGTACTGTCCAGTAATACAGTAACAGTAAAATCTTTACACCTATCAAAAATTCCTGCTTCACATCAACTTAGAGGTTAAACTTTCAACTACTCAGCTCAGCAGATAATAATATTAAAGTTATGATTCATTACAATTCTACATTAAACACTCACTACACACAACAAATCAACTTGTGGAGTAAAGATGTTGTGCAGTGGTGGTGATGGGCTGGTTCTCTTGTAAAAGTGTTTTATGACCTGTCCCTGGCCCACGCCCCCCGGCCCTCACAATCGATTGGTGGATGGATTGTAATGGCAGGACCTGGATCTCGCACTACGACTTATGGCTAACTGACAAGCCACTGATGAGCTCTGCAGGAAAATAACTGAGATATCTGCCCTTACTGCATCGAGGAGGAGGACTGAGAGAGATAGGAGCAGTTGGATTTGAAGTAAAGTCAAAAGAGGACAAGGTGTTGTAAAATAGAGTAGTGTTTAAAAAGAGATCAATGTTCCATGCTGACAGATTTCCATTCACAGATTTGCATCTGTCAGAACTTTTTTACTGAATCGAGCAAAAAGAGATACGCTTATAGCTCTGAAAAGCATTAAACTTTTAAAACAGCCCACGGGTTGTGTCATTAAAACCAAGAGAAGCAGTAAAACATTTTTTTGCATGATCAGGCAGGAATGGTACAATGGACTCTCAGCACATTTTAATTGAAGTGGTCCAGAAATGTCTTAGGTGACAGTTTCGGCTCTAGTTTTAGTTTGAGATTAAACTTTTGGACAATTGGCCATTTCACAAAAGGACTGTAAAAGCTCTGGTGATTGCTCTGCTGATTCACTTCTTTGCCACTCCAAATTATTGTAGCTCCTTTGGCACAAATTCTTAGCCTCAATTTGTAAATTTTACAAGATACTGCTGTATTTAATTTAACCAACTAAAATATTTCCAGCATTATCCAGTTGTGATCGGTAAGTGTTAATTAAATGAATACCTACAATTCCAACATTGTGACAGATGGAAGGTGTAACAAAATCATGCCACTGTAGCTTTTCTGGAGGAGGCAGTCCATCTTTGCCTGAAATGTTCCACTGAATGGCATTACAGTAATCTATATTGCATTAAGTAAATTAATTTCTATTGTTGAAAAATACCTAGAATAATATGCATTCTTACTGAGCGCAGGGTTGCCATAGAGCTGACCTGCAACTGGGCTTTGTGGCGCTTGTCTCCATGGAGATAGAAAAGATAAATGCCATTCTGTGGAACATTTCAGGAAAAGAAATTCTAAACTCAGTGGAGACAAGCAGGTGACCAGAAAAATTACGTACTGCACCTTTAGGATATTTAAAAGCCACAGATCAAAAGCACTCATATTATTTTAACTACTGAAATAGACTGCATTTGGTACAATACAAAGAATACAAAAACAAAACAAAAAAAACAAGCAACAAAAATAGAAGATATACATTTTAAGTATTCACAAGTTCCAATGATGTATGTCTGTTTGCAGAAGAAATGGATGTAGTGCTTAGCAGGAGATAGAGGGCTAGAATAGGAGGGCGGATTGTGCAGTGTGAGTGGAGCTTACCTTTCATTTTGTGTTGTATTTGGGACAGGTCTGAGGGGACCACTGTGGACCGCAACGTGGTCAGGGACGAGACGCTGTTTTGCAGACGACTGCCTTTGTTCTGGTCTTTGGTTTAGCCTTTCACTTCCTAAAAACAAGATAAAAACATTCACATTATGTTATGTCTATAAGAAAGTGTCACATTATATGGAAGTGGGTTGTGTATTATGAATGTATTTACTGAAAGATTTATAAACCAGACTACTTTCAGACTATTTTTTCATAAACAATAAGCTTACTGGGGCAACAAAATTAGAAACACATGCTGAATAGCACTTTTAAATTACCTATATTACGCAATTTTTTGATCTATGTTATAATGTTGTTTCCTCATCAAAACCATAGATGTTTCATTCACACATGTTTAAAACACAAACCCTGCAATACTTAGGCTGTGTTTTCCTCTCAAATGAAAAACACTCTACCTTGTGATGTCATGTGGTAATACAAAAAATGTTCCATTGTGTTTTTAAACTCCATTCACTAGAACCATTTAGATAATTTCAGCCCTGGAATTGCCAGCCACTTCTGAACAAAAGGTAAAGGGTAACTTGGAAACTACCCCTTCATGACATCAGAAAGTGGAAGAAAGGGTTTTAAACTTTAGAGATATTCAAACATGTGAATGAAACAAAACACAGCTCTGGCTATGTTTTTGATGAGATGACAACCTTAAAACATGGCTTAAAGCTTACAAGAACCAGTGTTATAATATGTTGTAATATAGGACCTTTAAGAAACAGCTCATAAGAATAATATGATAAAACTATTTGTCCAATTCCCATGCTTGAATAGGCTCTACATAAGAATCAGTGCTGTGAAGAGTAGCAGTATTTCTTCTCACAGGCTAACAGAGAGAATGTAAATCAGGCAAAATGTCAGCACGTGAAAGGATCCATTCATTTTGTCTTTTCGAGTCGGGCTCCAGTGGTGCTGTCGGAGCAGAAGATCTACAGCAGCAACTAAGGGTGAAATCATTGAACACAGGATGTTTGAATATCACACAGAATGTTTATTATGGAGACTCCTGGTGGCAAAGAGGTAACACTATGAAAGGAAGAGGCAAGCTGACTTTCAATTAACAGTTATGGGTCACTCGACTCCAAACCTAAGAGATAGAGATAGAAAGATACTATATTCTTGTTGGAAAAAAAGCTTGCCTTTTAAGTGTACAGTTATGATTGTATTTTGTTTGAGGTACTTTTTACAATCAATAATTATAGTTATTTATGTGTCATGTTACATCAAGGTGCACTGTGTAACTTTCCTGCAACCTGCTTGTTTCCATGGAGAACATAGTGCTTACATTAAACTTATATTTCTTGGAATTATTCAATTACAAGTGTTATTATCACCATTAAATACCACAGAATCATTGTAACTTTGACCCATTGCATCACCTGTTTGTCTTCATAATAGATAAGATTAATGCCATACTGTGGAATATTTCAAGCAAAGCTATAAAATATTCATGGAGACAAACAGATGTTACAGTCAAATTTAAATTTGATACTTATCTTTGCCTTTACCTTTGTAAGTAGCCTGGACTCACTACAGCAGACATTTTATATGCCACTTGAAAAACATTAGAAATAGCAAAAAAAAAATAATCCAGTGGATATTAAAGTTATCAAAGTACCATCACATGACAATCTGATGTGGAATGTATATGTATGTGTGTAATATGATGCGGGCCCCATGATCCTATTTGTTCTTATAATCAAGCATAGAGATAACACAAATTGGGGGTCCGTCTTTACCATCTGTCTCAGCAGGAGGCATGATAGGGAGAGAGCCAGCACGCCGCAGTCGAGCCCGAGGTCCTATCAGAGGCCTTCTCACCTCCAGAGGATCAGCAGGGGGCTTGGGCAAGATGTGGACTGGATCTCCATTCGCTCCCGGAATTGGAAACGTGGGCTTCTGCAACACAAATATAGCACCATGTTATTTTTATTGAATTCATGAGTTTCAGGCATAAGGATTCCTTTTTGACTTGAATGATTTGGTGAAAGGGGAAAGGTGCTCACAAAATCTTTCAAATAAGGAAGCCATTATTTGCCTGAAACCTATAAATAGAACAGCATAAAGTTAAAATAAAAATCAATAATACTTACGTGGTGAAGTGGAGAGAGACGAGTCCCTGAACCTGGCCTGGAGTCAGGTGAGTCAAAATTTTGTGCATGAAGACTATGAAAAAGAAAAACAAATTATTTTTCAAGATTAACTTTAACACAAATTATCTCAATGTAAATGTATATTGTTCCTAACCTAAAGGCAGAAGGGGGCCTGTTGTCTGCACTGGCCCGCACTGAACTCGTCCCAAACAGTTGTCTGTGAGCATCTCTGGGAGTGAAGGGGCGCTGGGTGGACTGGACTCTGAGGGACTGCCGGACTTCACTCACAATCTCAGCACTGGTTTTAATCAAAGAGTTTCTCCGCGGGAAGAATGGACTGGAGATTTCAGGCTTCCCAGCCGAAGCCATTTAGACCCATGTCATAGCTACAAATACAGCCTGAAAAGTTCAAATGTTAAAGAATTGAAAGTTCTACGCAATGTTTTAGCAGCAGAAGCATCTAAAATATTACTGTTTATAATAAAATAATTAATATAAAATGTTGTATAAGTACATTGTTTTAATAGCTTTATTGTTTCCATGACCAACACTGTCCATCCTTAAACTTATGAAACATGGGATATTTATATTATTTTATTTATATTAAGTCGACATAAGTTGTTTTGGAGTGCATAACTCGTTAGAAGCAGCTTGTAAAGTTCCGTAAGGGAATAATGCTTCTGTATTTCCTATGCGCGTTCACGAATCGTTTCCATAGCAACGAAACGCCGCTGAAGGACGCGAGGCAACAAACTACAAACCGGAACGATGAAGTTTTATCGGCAAAACAACAATAAAGTTAACGAAAGCTTATCGAAAACTGTTGCACAAATGCCTTTGTAGGTTCATCAAATCCATGCACATTTATCAAAGACGCGTGTATAAAATCAGTGAGATAAAGTAATGAAAAACAGAATTAGCTAGCTAAACTTACAGTCAGTTGTTCACTTGACTTATGCAGGAAGAAGCGGTCTTTTAGTTAGGTCCAAACGCAAGAAAATGTTAAAAAAGGTAAAAATGACACGAATTTTAACTGGCCCTAATTAAACCCCGCTAACTTTACGTGCTGTAGGAGCTTTCTAAGTCACGTGCACGAGCATCGCAGGAGAGAAATCTCGCGAGAAACTAAACCATCATCGATACTTCATGAAATACTCTAATTACACGAGTATGTTGGGAAACATGGAGACATATCAATGCATAATCGCTTTCTTCACCTGTGACTAATAAATTAACTTATATGGGATGTATAGGTTTATGGGAGTTTATATATAAAGAGATTAGTTTAATTTACCCCAGCCTTCTGCCCCTTATCCATCATCTATGGAAAGCACACCTACTACGGAAGGTATGACCTTAAAACACACTGCATCTTGTCGATCTATTGTCCTTATGTCCTACAAGCTCAGATCAGAGCATTTTCAGTTAGTCTGTGCCTAACTAAAACCAAGTTATTATTGATAACATACATAAATAGAGAATCACATACTTTGGTAGCCTTTACATAACACTATAAAGTTAATACTTTTTAAATCAGTAAATTATGGTGATAGCCTTAAATTATTAAGGCTTAAATAAGGATGAATCATAGCCATATTTGGAAGATAGGTAACAAATGGTACAGCCTACCTCCCATGTCTGTATATTTACTTTGAGTATACAAGTTGGATTTATTCGTGTTCAGTTGACTGGATTGAATAAGCTGGCTATTATCTGACAGTCCTGAATGTTGTTAAGCAAAATCATAAAGCCTTGTCCATTCTGAACACTAGTCAGAGCATGCTGCACACTGGCATTGCATTCAATTGAAGTACTTAAAGGAGTCATTCAACTCACGACTTGGTTTCTTTAACATGACAACCCAGACCAATCCACCAATGAGATTGCTCTCTTCTTTTCTCTCTCATCCACTCAGAAACGTTTTCAGTATTTTTTCTACAATGGACCATACATCAAACCAGACTTGTGTGCCTCTGGTTGGATTTAAATAGCCTTACATGCTTCAGTCTCTTGGATACAGTCAACTCCATTGGTGGAGAGTGCAAGCTGGGCATGGCCAATGGTGGGGCATCACTACAGGGCTTAGTATCCAATGGGAGGATAGAGAGGCAAGAGTGCTGGTGCCTTTGTCAGTAGGGGAGGGAGGAAACATGCTGCCAGGACAGTTGGCACAAACCCAGACTAAAGTAGGTATTCTTCAAGTTCATTTGATAGGGCTGTCTTGACTTATAGTTTTGGTTGAAAATAATTGCTATATTGTGGTGATCTAACTTAGGCTCCCACCACAGTGACCTTAAGAAATCTCACAGTTGACGCTGTAGCACATTGCAGGTTGTAAACACATATTTTTATTTTCACTTCTTATCCTACTATTTTTTTATTTTTTTTTTTGCTTTGTTTTGTTTTGTATTTGTTAGTCAGTAGAATTTAATAGGATTCTGGTAAATATACTTCAAAATGTTAATAATATTTTAAAACAACGATTGTGCAAATTTTTTGTTCCTCATAAAACTGCATCAGCAAAACATGTTGGCCTATTATTATTTTCACAGTTTACAATTATTTACAATTTCTCATTACTGCATTCAATGTTGACTGTCTTCCATGCTCACCATTACTCTCCCATTTTGTGTTTCAGTTGCTGGACAGAGCATGAATACATTTGGTCTTCAGAGCTATCTGTTGAGCCACCCACGTCACTCCCATCACGGCCGCTCACGTCACACTTTAATTTGTGCGAAGCCTCATACTGCTCGGAGGTGGTGTGTCTCCTTGACGACAGGATCCATCTCAGGACTGAGAGCACTTAACCTGGAGGAGAGGGGCTTCTACAGTAGTCTCTGGAAAGGTCTGACCCCATCAACACAGCTATCTTCGTCTCCTCCACCACTTTTATATTTTCATATATTTCCTTGATGTATTTATGACGTGTTGCACCATCTTCTGCCAGTTTGGTCTCACTGAATCCATTTTTCTCCATCTAAGGATGCAATAAATTTGTGCAATCCATGTGTGGGTTTTGTCATATTAGTTCCTCAAAAGAAAGTTTATTTTTTGTAAGTTTGGGATGATATACAGTGTATAAACATGCACAATAGAAAGACTTATTCCAGTTAGTCCTGACCAAACCTGCAGAAGAAAAATGTCAAATGTAGACTATGAAGAAAAATATTGACATCTTAGTCTCATACTTAGGCTTATCATTCATTCTTAGATTATTGCACATCACTGACAATTGAGTGTTGCTCTAAAAATACCACAAACCTCTCTATGGCATCATTATGCTGTATCATATTGTATTTTTATTGTGACAGTCTTCATTAGTCAGTGACGTTGTTATGGAGATCACCAAGGCGACCAGCTCATCTCAAGAAGACTGCAAAAAACAGATTACAAATTCGGACATCCCCCCCTGAGTACTCTTGTGATGAGATTGACGACTAGGGAACTTGGGATTCTTTTGAAATGATTACCCCACTTGTGTGCACAAAGTTACCTTGCTTCCCCTGCAATAAGTAGGCCTAGATCTTCCCAACACTGACCCTGGAAAACCTAGATTGTACAAGCTGGCACACCCACAGTCATTAGTGAGTAGGTCAAATGCGCTTCTTACATTTTGTTCTAACTCAGCATCTCCTCCCGTCAAAAACTGCAAGCCTAAACACTAGCTCGTAGCATTTGTACTTGTTAGTCTAAAAAAGAATTAGGATTTTGCAAATAAGTACTTTTAAAGGCAACTTGACAGAAAATAACTGGAAGATGGCACTTTATACAGAAATTGCTACTTTTGGAAATCTGCCACATTTATCAGTTGAAGCAGAAGTGATTATCTCAGCTTTTTTTTATTTAAGTTTTTACATAATGTCGTCTAGCTTTATGTACACAAAAAGAACCATCTTTCCACAACATTCACTCACGCAACTGTCTGTATAGAGGCATTCAAACAAAGTAGACGTGTCAGACAGGGCAATGTCATCTTATCACTCCACTGGCTTTGTGTACATGGAAAATACAGACATATCTAACAGCCCAGTCTCATATTATCCCTGCACAAGCGCTTTTGGGCCCCTACACTGAGCAGACACACGCTAAAACAAGTCCTCAACATAGGGGCATGCAGGTGCACAAATGAAGTGAGAATGGATTTATATAATATTATATAAATGTACATTGGCATTGATTGTGTTGCACTAAAATTAATTACTTGAGTAGATTAAAAAAAAAACTTCACAGAACTGTTTGAACCAACAAATTGCTGAATTACATACCATAAGAGTGGCTGTCCAGTTAATCAGTGAGTAGTCTTTTCACTTACCAAAGTATTGCAACTGAAAATACAATGAATTACTCATGTTCAGTTTATTATCATTCTGCCCTTCAAAACCTGAAGCAAAGTTGTTGTTTTTTTATCTACATAGGCTTATAAAGGAGAGGAGAGTTATGTGACAGTGAGGGACAGGACACTGGACAAACTGCTCTCCATCATGGACACTCCTACTCACCCACTGCACCAGACTATAGAGGGACAGAGGAGCTCATTCTCCAACAGGCTCCTACAGGTCCGCTCAAACAATGAGAGATACATACAGGACTACATTCATACCATACTCCATACAACTGAACAACAACTCAGCCTTATGTAATAGATAACCTTCAGTCATGTCAATCACGATTCCATCTTTGCTCTGTTTCTGCTTATGACCTCTTGTATACTTGTACATATGGAGTACATTTATGTAATTATGTCTTATTTGACACCAGTCTCTTGTTATTTTTGCTACTTATTTTGAATTTATTATTACCATTTATATTTTTACTCTTTGTTTTATAATATATTGTGATATGTGAGCTACTGTGTTCAAATAATTTCATTTCTGGTTCCAATGTTGTCTAAGTGTAAGCCCTGTAGATGAAAGTCTAAGAGGAGAGAGAGTGCATTTATTTGAACGCTTGAGAGGTAGCAGGAAGTGTCAAACTTTACCATACAACTAAGTTAAGTCCTCAACATACAAGACTGTGTTTTCATAAACTCATCAAAATGGAAGTGAATCAGCCTTGCATTTTCTCTGTACTAGTATGTGTATCTGAATGCATTTGCTGACCTGCGCATGCTAATCTTTACAGCTGTACAGACCAAGGCCATATCTGACCACCGTCCCAGTAAACACACCATCAAATCCACTTATTCCCAGTTTAATAAATGTGTAGCCAGCAAGGTCTTCTCCCTCCACAAAAGCCTTTTCTGTGTGTGCAGCAGTAGGGAGCTGGTGAAGGCCACTGCTGCCCACTTGCTCACTATTGAATCGGACCCAGTATTTTCATGGCTTTAGTGTTTATCATGGCCACGTTCTTCAAGAGGCTGTGTGCCTTTTTGCATGCATTCACAATAACCAACCTCCTCCATTTAATTTATGTTTATGCTCTTTTCAGGGGTTAATTGAATCGAGTTTCAAGCTGTTTTTTTTTTCATGACCCAGTGAATAGTGTCATTGAACGGACTTACTTTATATTGATACATAGACTATATGCTGCGTGACCACATGTCCCTCTTTTGATTGTCCTTCACAGTCATATAGACCCCAACTTATATAGAAAATGTTAAAACTTTTTCACTGATGTCACATGAATTATACAATTTACATAGCAAACATTATTATTATTTGTTTATTTTTCAAAGAAATCCAAATCCATTTTATTTATGTGGCACATTTTAGAAACAAAACAGTTCAAACAACAAAAGGTACACAACAGAGGGTATGAACACTCAATTTAACCTTGCCAATCCTAAAACACTAAAATCAGTAAAGTCAAATAAAAGCAAACACATAAAATAGCAATAAATAAATAAAATAATCAATACAATTATATAAAATGTAAATAAAAATAAACTAAAGACTCTGAGGACTTCACAGCTCAGACAGTGTTAAAAGCCAGAGAATAAAAGTGGGTCTTTTACTCTGCCAATCCGTCTGTGTGATACAATTGATAAACACACACCACAGTGTAGAAGTAGTTTTTTTCCACAAGTTGGATGGTCACACTAACTATATATGTGCTGTCCTT